AACTTGTCGCTGCGTATTCTAATCTGAGCCACAGCGCCTTCACACTGAAGTATTGAGGCCTGCTACCGTGAGCCGAAAGCGGCCATCTTGCAAATGTCGGTCCCCGAGCGATATTGATCTGATCACTAAGCAAATGCTGACTTGCGCGCGTTCAGAACCTGCAGGGTACATGAACTCGAAAGGTCGCTGGGAAAGGAGAGAGCCGGCGCCGTGCGGACATCAGAAGTATCTAAGATTACGCACACGGAAACTGCAGGACACCGCGCGATATGCGAATGCCCATGGGCATCAGCGCCATCGAGCTGCGTTTTCCTCACTCCAGTTCTCGTAGCCGACTCAGCAACAACTTGCAAGTAACTCCAGAGTCGCGACCAGGTCAAAAACCACGCCAGTCTCCAACGACACCAATGAAAGGCGGGAGATATTTTACACTCAATACTCAATATCTATATTAAGCACGCGATCTGCTGAACGACAGCGTTCGATATCCTCTGTTGTCTGTAAAGAAACCTGGCTATACTTCTCCATGTGGGCAAGGCCAGCCCATGACCCATGAGGGTGTGTCACTGTATGCGATGAATTCCTGTGGAAAGCCGAGGTGCCCGAGCTGTCCAATCACGACATTGCTTCAGCTGGAGTGCGCCGTTGATTCCTGCGTCGTTGCTTGATATCGCGCACTGCTGCGTGCGCCCTGACCAGAGCCAAAGCTGAAGTTCCAGGCGTTCAGCGCACTCGTCATGCAATGCCATTCCGGTGCAGTCGGGCACCTAGGGTTTCGGTGTGTCGCGTCGTTACTGTCCACGTCGTCGCCTGAGAATGTACAAGAAGCGATCGGCTTCACGATTTTAACGCAAGGTTTAGTGTGATCGAGAGACTCATCAAACTGGAGTTCCGTGCTCAATCTTGATTCACCACATAACATGCGTCGCAGTGTGCCCCCGTCGAGTCTTTAAGATGTCACTTTGTTGTCTGTCACAGGACCGCGTCCAACTGGTCGCTGAATAAGATTTTCGATCCGCCTGCAGCTCAAGCGCATGAATGACCGATGCAGAGACCAGACACCTTTCCTAACCTGATCCAAGCAGGTACCCCGAGTCTGAGGGGTGTGTCGGCTGTTGCCTGTCAGCACTGCGTCTAGCCAATAAAGTCTTGGTGATGCAGATTTGCAAGCGTAGGATCCCCCCCAGGGAAATGGCTTGGCTACTGCTGGAAAACCGCCAGCAGTGCCACATGCAAATTTGGTACAGAGCGTGCCGTGGCTTTAAACTCGTCCTCCTGCGAGATGCTGCTAGCTTCGCGCGCAGTGCCATGTTGCTGTGACGTGTCTACTGTTCCAGTCGACTCCCTCGTCTACAACATCTTCGCGCGAGAGATTAATTCAAGCTCCGCAGGAGTCAGTGCTGCTACTGACGCTTGTTCTCACGTATGGATGTCCTTGTAGAGTTACGACGTAGTTGACAGCGATCAAGATCTCGCTGGTTCAAGGGCTTCTCGCGTCCAGGCTGGCTGCGTAGCAGTGCAGCTAGCGAAGTCACCACGGCGTGCTAACGCAGGTCGAGGTCGACGAGTCAATCGGAAGACGCGCAAGAGCACGGTTGCAGGTGCATTTTTTCTCAGAATACGCAGCGGGCGCCAAGCGATCGCTTCACATTTCAGGACAGCAGACGTACAACGACGTCTGCCTTGTCGACGCCTTCCGTGCCCACGGCGTCAAAGTCAAATACGACCGCCATGGTCCTTTCTGGGCTCTCGCAGATGGAAACCCTATGCTGCGTCCGTTCCGGCATCTTGTTTATAGCTTGCGAATTTACAGTACTGAATTCCATTGTCGTAGTACCACAGTATATGATTCGAGTTTCGGGACACAGCGCACGCAGCCAAGGAAGCAAATGGTGCCGGTGGCCTCCAAGATCATCTCGGAGCCGGGACAATACGTCGTAGCATCTCAGAGCCACTTCGTATCCCTGCGCTTCGACGAAGATGGGTTCGCCATTAACTTCAGCAACAAACGTCACACGTGGACGTCGGCAACTTTGCTGCCTGACCTGAAGGCAAGGGAAAGACTCCGACAGCACGATAAACGGAAACACAGACGCCAGATATAATGTCATGCGGCCAGGTGACTTGGTGGACATGCCCCTGCACCGGTTTGCATTTCGTCAACACGACGAACGCCGACGCCCTTTACCGGCTGGAGGTGAGGAGCTTGTAGATGGGTAGATGATTTTTCTCTCAATGCAATAGTTTGCGAGGATCTACCGCCCGGTGATGTTCAAGACGAGGCCGAGGTGGGTCCAGGCGTTATGGGGGCGGGCTTGGAGTGACTTGGCGCACCTCATCAATGCTCGTCTCCTTTTAAACTTCGCGGGGGTGTCAAGTTCGCAGCGCATTTCAGGTCATGGATGAGGGAGACGCCCGTGCTAACATTCCGAGATGTCTTTGATATACCCGGCATGCAAGAGGCAACCCGGTAGCTACGTAACCGGACATAACTTGGCCAGAGCTGAAAGCGCTCGCATGACTAGGCGTACTTCGCCAATCCCGCAGCCGAGGGCCAGGCAGTTGCGCCAGCTGCGCCAGCTGTCTGGGTTCGTAGTGCGTGCAGCGTCGCCAGGTGTTTCGTCCGTTGCCAGAGACAAGCTCATTCCCGAAGGCTAAGGCGTGGTTGCGTAGTTTGACTTGTAACATGGATCGAAGCTATCTGACCTGACTGCAGCAGGCGCAGGCTACGCATTACAAACTGCCCACCGACTTCCACGCCATGTCTTTCGCGCCGCATTTGGAGTGGAAAATAACGGATGATTGGGCTGTGGTGCGCAGAAACTCGCGCTGCGCACAACCGCGTTTCGACTTCCATGATGAAACGCACCCAAGCGAAGATCACCACCGAGCCTGGGAGATGCATCCTCAACATCCCCTGCTGAAGAGACTTGGGTTTCCACGGGGGTTCCCCGGGTCAATCGTTTACTGTCCTGGATTGCAGACAGCCTTCTGGTCCACGCATCTTTTCGACGCTTGGATGATTATGCGAGAAGTGGAACACATGCTGGACCAGCAGTACCAGCAGAGGCCGTGTCTCTAAACAGCCCTATGCACTTTGTGGCTCAGTCTTTCGAATGTGTGTGGGGCTCATCATTTGACAGGACTTGCGCGCACTCTTCCGGTAATGGGGAGGCCCAGGGTGGTACTATGACACGGCGAAGGCTAGGGCCGACGTCTCATCTAGAACCGTTACCGTTGTTGGCGCAATGCGTGAAAAGGTGGGCCAGAGGCAGTGCTTCTGCAGCGTCATTCAGATCCGCACCTGAACATCCGAATGACATTGAGTTGCTCTGCTCTGCGTGCAACTTGTGTCTGTGCCCGAAGCAATGTTGCTGTGATATTGAAAGTGCTGCCTTGATGTCTTCTGACAGAAACTAAGGCTGAATGCTCGATCGAATCGTCGCTGGGCGCGAAGACTAGGAGGCACAAGCAGGTCAACGAACTGCTTTTCAGACGACTATCAAGGGGGAAGTGCTCCGCTAGAGGTTGTGAGTACGTTGCCATCGTTCTTTTTCTCCTATCAGTACCTGAAAAATCTCGCGGCTGTCTCGAAGAAGATGTTGGAGGCTGTGCGCAGCAAGGACAACTGGAGAGACCGTACAGTGTCCCTGAGCACTAGCGAGTTCGAGGATCCCTTCAAGCTGCGTGCTATGGTGGCAATGTACGCTTCGACGCTCAAGGTAAGGCTAAATGTGAGACAACTATCCATGCTGCGTATTCTGCCGGAAAGGCTTCTCCTTGAGTGGAAGCATGTGGACGTGTGTCATGACCGCACCGGCAACGACGCCACTGTCATCGGCTATCAATCCCAAGGACCCCTCGCGGGCTGCGCGGCATTTAACTTGGAGCTTCCTGCAGCCGTGCAATGCATCTACATAGGTGTACGAGAATGGCATGTGGATAAGACAGCATTCTGTCGAATCGAGAACTTGTTCAGAGAGGATGCAGTTATATCATGGTCACTGGCGCAGAATATTCCTCCTTTACCGCACGCAGGCAAAGAGGTCCGACTGCAGCCTAACCGCGCGCATCGCATCGACATCATGTGGGACCAACGCTTTTTCCAGCTGTCGTTAGACGGAGAGGGTCTGTCACGCGCGCGAGCTTTGCCAGGGAGTCCAGAAGCACCTGCTCCGCTTTCGCAGGTTTTCCTTTGGATTCACGCAGATTCTCCTACAGATCGACAGATGATTACTTTTGAGCCCTTACCATCAATGGTTCAATTGAGCGCGCGCATAACGTGCGCACTGTGTCAGAGACAGGCAGGACTCACAAGACCTGATTGGGCTGTTTGTCCGCTGTGCGATTCCTGGATCTGCAACGACCACATTCGACGGAAGCCGTTGCGTAAATGCCCCAACTGTCCGAATCAACTTTTTGACTACGTGGGCGGCAGCAGTGCGCTGAAACCACACGTCGATACAACTGCGTTCTATTCTGTCAGCGGTAGTTCACCTGAAGCGCCATACCTGAACGCTGTTGCTTTTTTCTACAACAGAGAAGATTTTAGGGACGGCGACGACAAGTTCGCTTGCGTTGTTCTCAAAGTCATGCGGGAGCATCTGCAATTCCTGCGGAGGTTTCCTTTGGCTCTCGAACTTCTGCCGGATCCACGTTGCCGTCCGTCAATGTCGAAGAGAATGTGGGAACGTATCTTATTCCGGGCAAGGGTTATAATTGCTTTGTTGGATCAGAAGAGGTACTATATTCTCTTTTTCTTCTTGCAAGAGGTGGCTCAATCTTTGGAGATGAAAGCTGACAACAGTTTGCAGCGCTTGCCACACCCCAAGGAATACGATGGTTCAGAAGATGAATGGGGCACGCTAGCTCTGAGACACTCTCTGCGACTTCACTTGGCCTTGGCTTCCCAGCAAAGAAGGCGTAGCAGCAAGCTTCAACTGCATGGGCAAGACGTTTCTGGCGGCGCTGCTCCAGCTCATTCTGAAATTGTGTCCGCCATGTTGCCTCCAGAAATCTTGGATCTGATTCTTCCGCAGTCTTACTTTTCGTTTGAGTTTCTCAGTTGCTTGGCTGCGTGCTCCCGCGAATTCTTCAACAAGGTAGCAGATGAAAGCAGCTGGGAACAGTTAGACATTGACTTGAACGTTCCCGAATTCAAGCACGATCTGGTACTTTTGCGACGCATGTCCAGATTGTGGACCGTCGCTCACACGGTTCGAATGACGCAGTCGCAACTAGCTTTCTGTGGTCCACCGTCATTGAGCAACCTTCTTATTCATTGGGAAGCTGAGCGAATTCCTTTCTGGGGACAGCGATCCTGCGGGTACATATCAACGCAGACATTGCTTGGCTGCGCAACGTTTCACATTGTGGTTCCAGAAGAAGCACGCACCATCACCTTCGGTGTGAAAAGTCCAACTGGGCGACGTAGGCTCTACCTTGACATCAAGGAGGCGTTCACTGAGCGAATGTGCATTGTCTTTGGAGTGTCTGGCGCATCCCAAGACCTCCGACCTAGGGTTTTTCCGAAGAAAGTTCTTCTCCCCGAGATCTGCAATGAGGTCATGATGATCTGGAACTCACGTTCCTTCGGCTTGAAGATCAACGGATATTGCTTCGGCCCCATTCAAGTGCGGCCAGATCTTCCCAGCGGACCAGACTCGCAGGGTCTTCCTTATGTGTGGGTGACAAACTCGGCGCGGATGCAGAAACGGCCTGAACTCGAAATTTATACGTCGGACACCCCGGTTTTGCCCAATGCTAGGTGTCTGTGCTTGGTTTGCGGGCTCGAAGCAAGTATAAGGGAGCAGGAATGGAGAGTCTGCCCTGAATGCAACACGTGGATCTGCAAGGACCACACAGACACTCATCCGGGTATGCAGTGCCCTGGCTGTTCATTGTTGTTGGCCGATTATGTTGGCGGTGCTACAACTACTCGAACGCGGTCGCATGTCTTTCCAGGACAGTCTCTTCCCTTCGAAATGGTGCTTTCCTTGCACTCATATTTCTTTGCACACGTAGCCGGTCCACATTCGCATCGCTCACAGCCGGCGAAGCTTCTACTGAAGCCACTTGACATCGCACTAGCAGACACCAAGTTCTCCAAAGGTTCTGATTACTCAGGAGGAGCGAACAGCAAGTTTCGCAGCAGACAAACAATGAGCTTTCCAGGACAGCAGGCCAACTACTCACTTCCTCCGGAAATATTGAGTTTTCTGCCGACTTATGTCTTTGACTACAGATACCTACGCGCTCTAGCAACTTGTTCAACTGCGATGTTGCAAGCAGTTCGCGACAAAGAGAATTGGCGAGGCTTGGATGTGGTGGTTGATCAACCAGATCTGGAAGACAGCAGAAGGCTTCGGTCCATATCCAATCTTCTGTCCTTCGCCAGAAGCGTTCATGTCAATGTCTCTCAGTTGAGCATGTACTTAATCATTCCAGCAAGTGTGAAACTACGCTGGGAAACAGTTCCGCTTCCTCCGCAACCGCATTTGCCGCATCTGATGTTTGGTTTCCGCTCATCGTGCGCCTTGATAGGATTTGCCGAGTTCGATGTCTTTCTGCCGGCAGAAGTGACAGGGCTGTACATCGGTGTTAAGGACTGGCATGGCGATAAGCGATCATACTGTAGGATCGACAACGTGTTCCGAGAAAGCATGACGTTGTCAATTAGCATGAATGAACTCCCTGCTCAGCGACACCCTTCAGCTGGCAGACTCTCACTATTGCAGAATCAAACCAACAGAGTTCAGATCTGCTGGAGTCACAGAATATTTCAGATTGCGCTCAATGGCAGTGCTGCTGCAAGCGCCAGGCTGCGGGGCGCGGCAGAAGTTGATGCAGCGCCGCCGCTGTCTGGAGTCTTTCTGTGGGCATTCGGACAGACAAGGCGACAAGGAGTTGCAGCTGAGATCCACCCGCTGCCTTCCCGCATTCAATTGAATGCAAGTATCAGATGCGGCTTATGTCGTCGTGAACGCAGTTTGTTGACACCACGCTGGCGGGTTTGTCCACTGTGCAGCACGTGGGTATGCGCAGAACATCTTGGGCAAACACCATGGAGATCTTGTCCGAATTGCACGCTTCAACTTCAAGACTATCTGGGTGGAACTTCATCGTGTGGAGGTGGCTGCGATGTGTTCATCGAGTTGCGGCGCTCTTCAGAGGCATCCAGTCCCAGGCTGAACCCCATACACGTATGCTTCCAAGAGCCCGTTGCTTCTTCTCAAGATCTCCAAGGAGGCTCCACATTATCGAGCCACACTAGACAGCGGATTGAACAAGGTCGCGCGGCAGCCAAAGCGCGGCAGGCTTTCCATAAGAAGTGGCGCCAGAGCTCTGCGCCGTGCCAGGGAAGCAGCCTCCGCATTGATCTGACAGGGAGCGCTCCTCTCTGTAATCTTGATGTCACCTTCGAAAGTTTTGCGGCCAGCCCTCGACTAGATGTATCTTTCGTGTACTTGCAGCGGTGCCATCCTCATCCACGCGACGAGGGAGTAGTGTTCTTTCCTGACACGCACGTCTACCTGATTGACGGCCATCCATCCTTGTCATCCGTAACTGCAGTGATACACAGCTACTCGAACCCATTCCAAGCAGATGATGTGATTCGCCGCATGATGGCAGGCCCCAACTGGCCAAGAGCTGAGTACTCGCGATACGAAGCTGGGCAGCTGCTGCCACTGACATCTTCGCAGATCAAAGCAAAGTGGAAGCAGAACGCAGAGGAAGCTGCGCTCCTTGGCACATGGACGCATTTAAAAATTGAGTGCTTGCTGAACGGCGGTAGGCTGCTTGAGTATGGGCTGGAAATGGATTTGTTCTTTCGCTTCCTGCAGAATCACAGCCAGAAGTTGATGGCTTACAGAACAGAGTGGTGCATTTGGGGGACAGAGGAGAGGCTTGCTGGGTGCATAGATTTCGCAGCGATGAACTCGCAAGGTCATCTGGTTCTCTTTGATTGGAAGAGAAGCAAGAACCTTCGGCACAAGTACGCAAACCCGTGGCAAACAATGCGCGGTTGTCTTGCTCATTTACCAGACTGCGCTGGTGTTCACTATCGTCTGCAGCTGAACATCTATGCATATTTGATCGAGAAGTATTATAGTTTCAACGTTGCAGCCATGTATGTTGTCTGTGTTCATCCAGACAACACGCTCGCTCCTTTTCTAGACTGCGTGCCGCGTCTTTGTCAGGAAACAGCAGCGTTGATGTCGGCACAGATTGAAATTGCGGGTAAGCATTCTACAAACAGCAGCAGCGTCTGCGACGTGCAAGATGAGCTTGGAGGCTCTGTGCTTGAACGGCCTCACATGCAAGCTAGACTCAAGCGACAGCCCCATGATATTCAGGCCGGCTCACCTGAGCATCGCTCTGCTGCTTGCACGCAGCTTGACTTCAATGCCCCGCTGCACGCGCGGAAACCGCACTCGCCAGCAGATTATATGGGTGGAGCATCCCAAGAGGATGGAGCTGTCGGCTCCGGAAGCCTGCAAGAGATGGTGGTGCAGCTTGCAGAAGGTGAAGATCAGGCTCCTGCAGCTCTTGCAGAGGCGTCGCAGAGCAGTTTCGCCGCTCGCGTCGATGCTGAATTGGCAGAGGAGATGGAGAAGGTGGCGGAGGCCAGCTGCGAGCCGAAAGAAGAGCAGCCCGAGGAGGCCATGGCGGGGTCTGACCTTGAAGGATGTCTTGAATTGGAAGATGCCACCTGGGCAGCGTTACGCAAGCGCCGGCTTCTGCCTGGCGCTCCTACATCTGACAAAGACTTTGAAGTACACTTCGGGAATTTGTTGCGAACAAATGCGGACTTTCAGTCCAGCTGTTTGAGAGAAGTGTTCGATGAGTCGGGTGCTATTCGGAACATGGTTGCCCGACACAAGTGCCACGTGTCAGAAAATTTCCCCCATCAGTCTGACCGCGTGACCCGACTCATGACGGCAGTGCTGGCTGTGTTGACGCTGCGAACAGTGGATGTATTTATGCGTGAGCACGCCGTTGTCCTGTGGATAATTGAAGGCGAATCTCACATGCGGTTCCACGAGGGGGATTGCTACATTCTTCATCCCAGTAATGCTTTCCAGCAATACAAGGGAATGCCTCTGGACTGCAGTCGTGTCCACAGTTTTCTGATGCACCTTGAAGGCCGCAAGCGTCCAAACTGTGGATTTTCGTCAACTCAAATCCTGATAATGTAGCTGCGTTGTCAGAAGCATGTTACGTAGCGGCTGACGGAAAGCATGTGTTCGCTTGCGTTTCAGGCATCTTCCGCAGACTGCCTGCGAACACCGAGCGCAACGACTCGGCTGTGCTCACTGCCGTCGCAGAGCTTCTACAATCAGATGGCAGTGACCGTGTCTTCCTGGACTTTTGCCGGAATGCCTGCGTGTGTAACCGCGGCGACTCTTTACTGAAGACAAGAAGAGCACAGGACGGCGATGAAGTTCCTGCGTGGGAAGTCGAGACACAAAACTGGCACATTTATGTGGCGCGGACAGTGATGCAGTTGAAGAAAAGCATCATCCGAGAGCTTGCCGACGAGAAGCTTGTCAGCTACATGATCGAATGGTGCGACAGCCCGATGAAACGCCAAGCCGGTTGCTGTTACGACGATTGCTGCGTCATCTATCCCGATGCTGGCAAAGCCACGCAGGCTCTGCCCATCTGAAAACCTTTGCTAGTCAGTCAAGTATCTCCGCACCTGTACATGGGCCCCATGCAGGTACCTCGCGCTGATGCCCAGAACATCTACGTCCGAATACCACATCAATTGCATGGCGCATGTCCGGATCACGTGATGGATCGCGTCACCAAGTTCTACCGCCAAACCTTTTGGACAAACATCGACGCCTTCAAATGCTGTCAAGCTGCACAAGTGACTCAGCGGCTTCCAGATCGAGTCAGAGTGAGGTGAGCGTAGGATGCGATTCTCGTTCATAAAGCTGCTCTCTGCTTGCTTCCGTGTGTCAAGTTGAGGCTCTGGCAAAAAGAGGCTTAAACGTGGTGCGAATCTTCATAGGCCTGTCGTCCGGCGGTGTTGGCCAATCCTTATATTCGGCGCATTTGGAGGCTTACCTTTGCTTCTTGTAGAAGGCTTGCAAGTTGCGATGCCTGCGTGTTCTCTGCAGGCGATGTACGGACACAACTTTGCGTACTTCGACCCCAACATTTGGTACAATGAGGACGAGATGCGTAAACAGGTAGAACAGCTGAATGGCTGTTTCATCCTTACAGGCAAGTTGATGTCTGCAAGTTGGGGGAGCGTGCGACGCCACTTGATTTTTCTTAGGATGTCATCCTGCAGGCCAAGAGACGCCAGGCACGAATCGAAGACTTCGCGAAGACCTGTATAAAAAATTCATGTCGGGCGAAGGTCTCTTGCTTCAATCTTCTGCAGCACAACGAGCCAGTTTTAATAGGTGAGTGGACGTGGACAGCGTGTTGCTATCCAAGGCATTTCTGGACGGAAGCCGTATGGCTTGCGCACACGCATGATAAGATGTATAGCTTGGAAGAGGCTGGAGGCGAATCGCATCTTCAGTATTGCCAACGTCACCAAGAAGGAGTTCAACTCGATCATGCGTCGGGCTTTTGTGTTCCGGATGATGGCTCGCTTTGAAGACCCCGTGGCAGTTCAAGGCTCACCGCTCCCGTTTGCAATAGTCCAGATCCAGTTCTTGTCTTCCGCTGACTGCAGTTTGGCGCAGCCAGGAGCTTATCCAGATATTGGCAAAGACGGCATCTTCACCAAGGATCAAGAGCTGAGAGACTTCCTGACGTCTGGGCCTGCGATTCTAGCAGCACTGCAGCTTCAACACGCCTTTGAATGTCAACACAATCAAGAGGACGTCTGAGTTTGCTAAGTGCTGCCAGCTCGCTGTTGCGTATAGGCTGTAGCTTCTAGGCTGTAGCTGCTCAGTCTGCAGGACTGTGTGCAAATGATCGAAAACTACGTTCAATGGGGCGGTGACCGAGGCCTCACTGAGACTGTAATGCGTGAAGCCTGCGGAATGCCTCGCCGAGATCTTCGCAACCATGTGAACCGGGCCCAGACAATTATCAACGTTGACGACGACCCTCTGGACACAGGTGGTGATGGCTCAGCCTTTGAGTGGGTGGCCATGCAGAACTTCCTTGTGAATCATATGTTGAGCTTGATCCGTGTAGACATCACGAAGCCCATGCTGCAGCGCCTTCGATTCCCTAGTGGCCCGAACATGAACAAGGAGGAACTTATAAAGGCTCTTCTCTTGAACGATGTGATAGATGCGGCAGTGCCCAGAGGCAAGACTTCGGAAGTGTACAAACCCAAAATTAAGTGCGACAACATGGAAAACGTGCTGGACCACAAGAACACTTCTGGCGTTAGCCAGGTCTTCCCGGAACTATATCATGTGAAGTTGATGCAAGAATACGTTTTCGGCTGCGCAGCGAGACGGGAGAATGCATTTATCCTGGCTGCGTTTTACGATAACGTGCAGGTGAAGAGCGATAAAAAGGGTCGCCCTTCCAAGACTGTACTGGCGCAGGCAGAGCAGGCCATGGAGCTCAAGAAAACCGGCACGAAGATTTCTGCACAAGAGGATCTGTTTGATGAAGTGCTTGCAGAATTGACGCAGTCGTCGCAGCAGATCAAGAGACGGCGGACTGGAAAATCCAGGACCATCAAAGATGAAATTGAATCGAAAGAAGGACTACCAGAACAAGTTCATGTGCAGCGCAGCTATCACTATTCTGAAGCGGTGGCCTGCCGAGCCCGCAAGGTCGTTACTGGCCTGGGCGCGCAGAGATTCAGCGCGCGTGCGCAAATGCACTTGACTGCTGGTACTGTCGATCTGGACATCTGCAATGCGCTCTTCACGATTATGCACCAGCTCCTGGGCAAGTTGAAATTGACCCCAGTCCCGCCTGAGGATGTTGTCGAAACACTGCGGCAATGTGCAGAAAAGCGCGAGACGATCTGCCGTGACACGTTGCATCTGTCAGAGGCCGGGTGATATCACGCGCAATAACTGTAGAGTTATTGTGAGCTTATATGGTAATCTTATATAGCTTGTGGCAAGACTGTAAGACGAGGTGCCTGTTTGTATTTGCCGGGTTGCAGGACAGTGGCAAGCAACTGCTCATCAAGGTGTTCTACGGTGGCGCGATACCCGCTGACCTTGAGAACGGCAAACAGTTTCTGATCCAGCTCGAGCGAGCCTCCATTTATTTCCGGTGGATGGCGATTTCGTTGTTACCAGATGTTTTCGCAACGTTTAACAAGCCAGATAGCGAAAAGAAAAATCCGGATGCTTCAGTGTTGTCATACCTGTATTGCATCGCGGAGGACCGAATTCTGTCAGCTTGGTCCGACTTCCTGATGGAGCTGAAGCCCACCCATCTCTCGCTTCACTATGACGGAGTACGAGTGTCCAAGCCGCGAGATAAATCGGTCGATAGCTTGTGTTGTCACGCGCAAGAGCGCATCAAGAGAACAACCGGCTTTGATGTGAAGATACGGGAGAAGCAACATTTAACGATTCTACAGGATCTGCGTTTGAACGCAAGCAGCGTGCGCGAGACCAGTCGTGTTGCCAAGACATCTAACCTTTGCCAAGCAGGCAATTGCATCCCTGCTGCTGTGGCTCTGCTGCTCGACAACGTCGCCCAAATTGAAGAGCTAGTTTCCTCGGACAGCAGACGGGAGGGCTGTCGGTCATACGCCGACTGTGAGAAGCTGCTAAAAATCCACTTTGCGCCCATGCCAGCTGCAGACCTGTCGTGCCTGGAGACGGGTGATTACGTGCTTCACCTGGAGCATCAGGGCAAGCCTCACTGTGTTGCCATGTCGGTCACTGTTCCCGGTCGAGTGGTTGTGCAAGATGTTCCGCAAACCTTTGAGCTGGAGGTTTCCACGCTGAAAACCATCATGACACGTGCTGTCGATCGCTGTGTGTCAATGGTGTTCAGACTACACACGCGTGGCGAGGCGAATTTGCAACATGACCTTTGGAGCGAGGCCGCCCTTCAGACGTTGCTTACTTTGCAGGCAGGTGGGGTCAATGAAATCGTTGTTGAGGAGAGCAGCGAGGCATTGCAACTGCTATTGGACGTGGAAGCTGGCTCAAGCGCCAGTCTTTGCGACCCAATTGAGGTGATGTCTGAGGACGAAGGCCCAGAAAGCATCATCAGCAGTGCTTCTGAGACAGAGGCAGCTCTTCATGGGTGCTGGCTAGACGAACAAGCGCAGGTGCTCACAGACCGGCAACTGCTCGAGAGCATGAAGCAAGAGATAGAAGAGTTTTTGGCTGCTGGAGCCAGTCCCCATGTCGAGCAGACCAAGCATGGACTGAGGTGTCCATTCTGTCCATGGCGGTGCTTTATTCGACCCCAAAAAGTTCTCCATCATGTTCGCCGGCACCATCGTAGCCAGAGGCAGTACTGCTGCTCTGGCACAAAGCAGCTGAAACTGATTCTGGCGCTGCATGACGCAGATATGATCGCCGGCGTCCACAAGCAAGATTATCTTCGGGCTAGCGCCAACCATCTACGGCAGAGGCTGGTCTGCAACAAGATGCACGTGAAGCGACGGACTCGAGCATCATGTTTCACGGACCTAAGGCAAGTGAAGCCGGCTCTGTCGCACAAGCGCAATTCAATCGACAAGCACTTGCGGCTCTTCTTTGCTGCCTCAGGATATGCTACACTGCACTTGGTAACTGGCAAATTCACGTAGCGAAAAGCCAACTCTATGGTGTTGCTTTGCGTTGCTCCCCAGGACCTTGCTACGCAAGACAAGATGCGATAGCGGCCTTGGCAGTGCGAAGAGTGGGCGATGTCTACTACACCCGCTGCTTTGCGGAGAAACTTTTCCGAGAAATGCTAGTCCATTCCGGCAAGGCAAGCGTATGCACGGGTGAGTGAGTGTGAGCTTGAATGCGAGCGAGAGGAGAGGGAGAGAGAGGGAGAGGGAGGAGATGAGTATACATTGTCTGGCACCGCAGTCATAGACCAAAACTGATGATGCGGTTGTCTGGTAGGTCAATTCCGTCTGGACACGGATGATCCTGGATGCTTCTGTGGCTGGCTCGAGGCTAACCAACCTCCTGCCAGGACACAGCAAGTCGTGGTGGCCCATCGTCGAAGATGTTTTCAGCTCGAGAGCGTGCCAGAAACTTTCAGAGCAACTTCTTCATGAGTGCACAAGCCACGGTGAATTCACATACCTTTCTGTTGATGGAACTGTGAAGTGTACAATGCCATTACTTGGTCAAGCTAGGCCGGGTGGCAAGAGCAGATGTGTCAAGGAGCCACTGTTCATCAGTCCCGGGGAGGCTATTCACACAGTGGTCACTGTGAGGGGACGTTCAGGAGCAGTGGTCGGCTTTTGGCCACTATTGTCTGAGAAGGCCGAGAACCTGCAGGATGCCTTTTTGCGAAATTTGCCGCAAACGGCGCTCGTGCAAGTCGAGTGCCTTGCAACTGACGCGCCATCCCCGCATCTATTCTCAGTTTTGCGCGAGACCATGCCACACTTGCAAGCCTTGTGTCTGGATCCTGTCCACCTGGCTATCAAGTACGAGTATGGCACTGGCCGGCGCAGAACAAAAGGCTCCAGTGCGCTTCGCATGTTGCTTAGCAAGTTCAATGCAACTGATGCAAGACTCGATGCGAAGCAATGGGGGCCACTGTTCACTGGCCAATACGCCAGGCCTTTGTCTGCCCGCGAAAGATATTTGCGAGATCAGATTCTCACAGGCTCGATGACAAAGCGCAAGGCGGAGTGTGTTTTACGCCGCGCCGAGACCTGCACAGTTTGGCTAGATCGATCTCACTTTATCGAGGCTATGGCCGCAATCTCTGCGCTTTTCTGGGAGGAGGTGCAGCGAAAGGGTGAGAAGAAGGGCAAAAGGATCTGCGAGCACCTGGCTTACGCAGCAGAAGCCGAAAGACTAGAATGGCTTTTCAACAACTCACGCTTCCGGGCAGGAAAGCCCTGCTCCCTTTTGAGTCTGCTGCCTTCCGGCACCGCCTCCAACGAGGCCTTGCACGCGGAGATGCGTGCATGGTTCCGCCAAATCCAGTCTATGCACCAGTCCTCCCTTCATCTGAAGTGCTGTGTGTTTCGTTTGCGAAAGCTCTTGGAGCATAACACAGCCATGTACCGCCCCACGACGAGTCAGCTCGCTCCAGGTCACGTCTTGGCACGACGTCTGGGGCAGGAGTTATGGACTTCTACAACGTGGCAGCAGTTCACGAAAGAAGTACGAGGGGAGCTTCCACTCAAGCAGCTTCGGGATCAACACGCCAGCTCTCGGCGCAGGCTTGTTTTGCAGCAAGCCAAGGTAGCGAAGCGAAGGCTTGCCGGAAAGCAGAAGCCGCCTGCCAGTGCCAAGACGTATCGAAGCGCACGGTGTTTAATTTGCCACGAGCGTCAGGCGTGATACGCGCAGGAGTCGCGAAACGACTCCAGCCAGCTATCGTGTCATGATTCTCTGGAGATCGGAGAGGGGACCAGACAGGTTTATTATTATTAATCATGTACAGGCGCGCGTCTACCAAGACTTATTCAGATTGCGAAGCACATGTAAAGAACGCAGGTTAATTATGGAGCAGTTGTTTTGTGACACGGACTGACAACAAGAGGTCAGCTTATTTGTGTCGTGACGCAAAGAGGTGAAATCCCAAAATGCTGCTCATGGCGCTGCTGATGCTGCTTCCTCTGAGGTTTTTAGCTCCACAGATCCGGGATTGCGCTTATACACCGTGAGGTAGCACTACTTGAATCTTAGAACTTCACTTCTCGCCCACTTTGCCCAAACAGCATTGACTTCAGCCGTAGAGTGAACGCGTTGTGTTTGAACCTCTCAACTGGCTTTCTTTACCCCTACACAGAAAACATAAGAATCTCTTTGTCAGACCTGCTCACTGGCACTCTCGTGTGGGACATCTGTCACTCACCCTCGCTTGCAGCCTTCTAGCGCAGAAAAAAGCCGTTGCTTTTCATGCGTGGGTTGCCTTGTCATAGCAGATGGGATGATCTCGGCCGAGCGCACAAGGCCCTTGCTGCCTAGTTAGGACAGTTCGGATCGCCGCCGCTTGCCCAGGAAAATCATAGCTGCTACAGGGAAACGCATTTCAACACTGCCGAGGCTTGTGAGAAGCACAGCGTCGTGTTTGTTCCTTTGGTTGGCCCGCGGTCCAAATAACGGAGAAGCCGTCGAAAAGGAATTCCCTTTCGTAGTCAGAGCCGCATGTCCACAAGAGAGTTTCAAGCGGTGTGCTCTGAGCTGTGTTAACACGTCTGCAACAGCCACGATTTGCTTATCCTCAACCGGAATGGGGGCCAGGCGCTTGGTTCGGCCGCCACGTTTGCTTAGGGGGCCAGGTGCTTGGTTCAGCCGCCATGTTTGCTTATCCTCAACCTGAATGGGTCTGAATGGGGGCCAGGTGCACGCAGCCGCCACGGTGCTTATCCTCAGCCCGAAGGGGGGTTCAGGTGCTTGGCGCAGCCAGCCAGGTTCATCTTCGATGCCCTCGAACATTCTCGAACCGTCGGGTGCCTTTGAGTGGTTGTGCATTGCTTGGCTTTGTGGGGTCTTCTAGGCTTTGGGTTCTAGGCGGGGTTAACCGGCGGACACCGGATCACAGGCTTCTATTTAGACACGTCCGCCACTAGTATTAGGAGGGGTGCGGTGAGCTCCGGAGAGGCTTTGGGAGGCAGGTTCTAGGCGTGGGCCCGCGGGGGGTCGCACGATAGGCTTTGGGTTCTAGGCGTGGGCCCGTGAGGGTCGCACGATAGGCTTTGGGGATATAGGCTTTTGGGTCTTACAAGCGTGGGCCCAAGTGGGTCGCACGATAGGCTTTAAGGGCTTAGGAGCGTGCTGCTGGGGTGCCTTTTTATCCTCAACCTGAATGGGGTGCAGCCGGCATGTTTGCTTCGTGCAGCCGCCGCGTTTGCTTATCCTCAACCTGAATGGGTCTGAATGGGGGCCAGGTGCACATCCTCAGCCGGAAGGGGGGTTCAGGTGCTTGGTGCAGCCAGCCAGGTTCATCTTCGATGCCCTCGAACATTCTCGAACCGTCGGGGGCCTTTGAGTGGTTGTGCATTGCTTGGCTTTGTGGGGTCTTCTAGGCTTTGGGTTCTAGGCGGGGTTAACCGGCGGACACCGGATCACAGGCTTCTATTTAGACACGTCCGCCACTAGTATTAGGAGGGGTGCGGTGAGCTCCGGAGAGGCTTTGGGGGGCAGGTTCTAGGCGTGGGCCCGCGGGGGGTCGCACGATAGGCTTTGGGTTCTAGGCGTGGGCCCGTGAGGGTCGCACGATAGGCTTTGGGGATATAGGCTTTTGGGTCTTATAAGCGTGGGCCCAAGTGGGTCGCACGATAGGCTTTAGGGGCTTAGGAGCGTGCTGCTGGGGTGCCTTTTTATCCTCAACCTGAATGGGGTGCAGCCGGCATGTTTGCTTCGTGCAGCCGCCACGTTTGCTTATCCTCAACCTGAATGGGTCTGAATGGGGGCCAGGTGCACATCCTCAGCCGGAACGGGGTGCAGCCGCCACGGTGCTTATCCTCAACCTGAATGGGGGCCAGGTGCTTGGTGCAGCCGCCACGTTTGCTTATCTCCAACCTGAATGGGTGTCAGGTGCTTCGCGTGCAGCTCGAAAGGCTTAAGAATCAGACCGTTTGCGAAGACGAGTGTGTTGCCAGCACACTGGGTGCTTCTTGGTGGTGCGTCTGCCAGCACGCTGAGTGCTGTTTGCAAAGCAAAGAATCAAGAGGGGCGGAGTCAGAATGCAGTCAGTCAAGGGCAGACGCCGTCTGCTGCCAGTGTAGCTTGCGTAGTAGCATAGTTTTGTCCTAGGTGCATTCTGTTTAAGGGGATAACGCCACTATTGAAAAACCTTCCAAACATGCTGTCCGAGGCCGCAGCCCGAAAAGGGAAATCACAATGCGGTTCCCCGCCCCCGTCTTGGGAGGGGGGCGGCAACCGGGGCAGCGGCGTAGTTTTTAGCGCACTAGTACTGCTACTACTGCGACGACGACGATGACAACGACTACGACTACTACTACTACTACTACTACTACTACTACTACTACTACTACTACTACTACTGCTACCCTCCCCGTCGTCTCTAACATACCCAGTCCCTCTTAGTCCCTCCCAGGCACCATTCTGTTTTTGTTTGGGGGCGGTTGGGTGCCAATGATATTCCCAGCCAAACAACCTCCAAATCTTGCGCAAGACTGGCGCGAGAAACTCGCAACGTTGGCTCAAGCCTTGGGTTCAACACAGAATATATCGCCTGCCTCATGACCTCTCACCCGAATCTCACGCGTGGTTTTGGTGAGACTGCTTGTGAGGGTGTGCGCGCAGAAAAGCAGCCCTGGGGCCAGATCTTCTCAGCAAGTAGGCCGGCGTAGGAGTAAAAGTGTCAGCAAGAGTCGTTGTTGTAGTATAGTAGTAGTTCTTTCTTGGGCTTGGGCTGGTACTGAGTGACCGCCTTGTTCACCCGTCACACCTTGCTACCTTATCCTCACAACTCAAGACCCTGACTCACTCTCTCGATCCCCAACATGAAATTCCGTTCATGACAAATCATCAGTCAAAAACCATTTTGAACCTGGGCTGGAGAACGAAGGATTGGCATTAGGATTCATGATGCTAGCTTTGTTTCTAGACACTAGCTCTTTAGAACCCAGTCTTTTGGAAATAGTATCATGAAGGTACGGGC